GTGAGCCGGAACGGACGTCAAGATGCCGGATTACAAGACCATCGTCATGAAGCAGGGCGATGCCGTCTGGAAGGCAGAGTGCAATCGCAATGGGCTTGCTCTGTACTCGTTTACTTACACGCTGGTTCCCAACATGGCTTTTAATGCCATGGTGGAGATGCATCGTCGCCTGGGCCATCCGCCTGCAGATGCAATGCGTGCTATGCTGCGCAATGAGGATTTGGATATGCAGCAATTGTCGGGCAAGATTGCCGACTGCGAACAGTGCCATCTTTTCAAGGCCAAGATGGCGACCATTCCCAAGAAGGCCCACCCGAGGACGCCGCGCCGACCTGGAGACCTGATTGTCTCGGACATGTTTGGGCCCATTTCAACACCTTCGCTGTATGGTGACAAGTATATCATCGCCTACAAGGATGTGGCCACGGGTTATTTGTTCCTGGACCCGGTCAAGAGCAAGGACGAGCTCACTTCCAGTTTTGAGCGTCTGTTGCGTGATTCCCCTATCCCTATTAGGATCAAGGAGGCTGATGTGGCTCGTCGGTCAATTTTTCAAAGCGACAATGATGGCGCTTACTGCAGCACGCGGTTTCGAACCAAGCTCAAGGAGCTTGGGATTTCATGGCGTGCCTCCCCGCCTCGCACACCGCAGATGAGTGGAGCGATTGAGAACGCGTTCCGTGAGATTCGTGACATGGTTGGCCTGCTCCTAGCCGACAGCAAGCTGCCCCAGGGCTATTGGGGCTTCGCCGCCAAGCACGCCGAGTACTTGATCAACATCAAGGTCAAGAGCGTGTACAACAACATGTCGGCCTATCAACTGCTGCATGGTAAAAACCCGCATGCGCTACTCGATTTGCACTCGTTTGGTGAGATGCATACGTGTGTGACAAGGACCACCGCAGGTCAAAGTTAGGTCCAAAGGCCCGCAAAGGGGTCTACGTGGGATTTTCCCCTGCCAAATTGGCGCACAAAGTCTACATGCTGGACACCAGGCGCATGATCGAGACGGTACACCTGAAGCTTTGCCCCCATGCTCGTGATGAGGGGGAGAATGTGGATTTGCCATCACTCGCCTCGATGCAGACCTAACGCTATTCAGGAATGTAGAGTTGTGGTGTGAGAGTGAGCTCAAAGAAAAGACCCTAACGTTGTATTGTCATCATGCATGGGCGGTATGATGACGATGGCTGTGAGGTATTGAACCGTGTACACTGTTAATTGACAAGCAACATTACACTCACTCACAACGTCCAGAACATGACCGTTACACCTTCCACATTAAAAGAAAACCAAAGTGAACAAAAATT